TTACTGAAAAGTTTAACCACAGCATTGAGGTTATATGTTTGTAAGCAACTGTTATTTCTTATTTTCATACACTATGAGAAGAATGATAGGGAAACTAGATTAATTGATGTTATCTTATATATCTGCTCACCATAATTGATGAGTAAGGTGGACATGATGCAGATATGCAGGTGCAGATCGGCAAAGCAAAGTTGAACAACAGCTGAAACTCAAAATAACTATTAACAAACACCACAGTCAGTATTTTCAGTAAAAATGTCAAAACAGTTCTACTGTATGGGGTAGAAACTTGGAAAACGATGAAAGCCATCTCTAGAAGATACAAGTATTTATTAACAGTTGTCTACGCAAAATACTTCAGATCCGTCGGTCAGACATCATCAGCAACAACCTACTGTGGAAGAGAACAAACCAGATTCCAGTGGAGGAGGAAATCAGGGAAAAGCAATGGAAGTGGATAGGACATACGTTGCGGAAAGCACCCAACTGCATCTCATGATAAGCCGTCAATTGGAATCCTCATAGTCAAAGGAGAAGAGGACGTCTAAGTAACACACTACGCTGAGAAATGGAGACAGACCTAAAATGAATTCACAGCAACTAGAAAGAACTGGATAGGGAGTCCCAGGACAGCGTAGGTTGGAGAATATTGTTCGGCGGCCTATGCTCTGCTGGGTTAACAGGAGTAAGTAATTAAGTAAGCAATCTTATCAGTCTAGGAGCTTAAAGGTAGAATATTTATGGGACGACTCCATCAAGGCATTTTTCCAAACAGTTCTTACTTATGTCATTGCTTACCCTATTGTTAGTGAAGGAAACATGTACAGGAACACAAAGAGTATTATAATTTGGGACCAGCCTTGATCAAATTTGTCATTCCACTGTGGAAAAGTGATATTAATGCAGATAATGATTATCTGACTGAAACACTACCCAGTCAGCTTTGTTCTCGAAACTTTAGTTTCTATGTTTAGTCTAAAGCATTCTCTAAACTATACATGCTTAATATAATGGGATCAAAAACAGAACACACTTTCTTAGCTAATAAGTCCTGATTGCCTAACCACTGAATACAACTTACTTACACTAACACCTGTTACCCCCAATGGAGCATAGGAGGCCTTCTTATCTAGTTCTGTCCAGTTGCTGTTCATTCTATTCATGTCTGTCTCCAATTTTCAGTGTAATGTGTCTCGCTGGCCTTCTTCTTTTCCTTTGACCTTGAGGGTTTAAAAAGAGAGCTTGTCTTGTGACGCAGTTATAAGTGCTTTCCTCAATGTATGTACTATTCACTAATTCCAGAGCTTCTTCCTGATTTTCGCCTCGACTGGAGTCTAGGCTGTTCTCTCCTACAGTAGACTGTTGCTCATAGAGTCTGACCAACGAATCCTACTATATACAAGCTTAATCACTAAGTCAAAATAACCGGAACTTTCAAAATTTCCAGTGGTCAAGTGATTGCAGTTAAATTGGGAATTATTATTATTACTAACTTCACATTACTAACATCGCACAAACAAGGTAGACCTATATATGATCTATGGAAATTGAAGAGAAAATTTACTCCATAGCATATTCGTCTAAATTAGAGTAAGAATCTCGGGACACTAGATACAATTGTTGAGAAGTTAGCGGGAGTCGAACTCAGAACCTTTGATCTTGTGAGCAAACTCGCAAATCTCTAGACCATTCAGCAGGTACTTAACAGTGTGAATATCTAATTTTAATCAATCTAAGGATTTCGCAATCTTATGATAGATACTATTTTAAGAAATCAGTTAACTACCTAATTTATTTATATTCAACAGTTTACAATAATAATTATGAGAATGAGGGTTAGGTAGATAGATCATTACTCACAATAGCTTAATTGTTCTTTTGCTTAAAAAAACAAGTTATTTCGTATTCAACTAAACTTGAGAAGATATTCTAATATCACGTGAAAATTCAGACTATAAGAAATCGTGATTATGAAGATGTGTAGAAGAGACTCCGCACATTATCGTACACAGCAGTCAAAATTAAAAAAAACATCGTGTTTTTATTACTTCATTTCACATACACTCTATGCATCATACTCATCGGCATCATCATCGAATCACTTCTCTTTGGGTTGGCTACGTGTTCATTCCATATGTGTCTGTGTGTGCGTGTGGATGAATTGAATAATCGTGTACACTAAATCTTTTATTGATCTCTTCTCCAACAATTGTACATTGAAATGAACAATGACGATCTGTTTGGTTACAGTACCCGCATTTCTCACTGATTATCAATGTTATAATCGCATGCTTTTTGATGTAAGAATTGCATGTTGAGTGTGGAATAAGTTATGAGGAAGGAGAATCATTATTTTAAGTTAGTGTTTAGTCACATATTCAGTGTGTGTGTGTGTGTGGTGAGTGAGTTGAGAAGTGGGTTGGTAGTTAGTGACAAAGTTAATCAAGAATCAAGAGTGTTTTAAGAGATGATATCAAACAGTTAAATCATAGACTTATGTTCTTCAAATGGGAGGGGTTCAACTGCACGCCTCATGTCTTGCAGTTAAGTTAATTCGATGAGAAGATGGAGACAGTTTAGTGTATACAGACAGTAGTTGACGATGTTGCGCAATACGTGTTGTGTTTCCGAATTATTTGCACACAGCTCACTTTCGTCCTTAGACGACTACATCTCTAATATGATGGCTCAGTTTTTTTAATGAACACTCAACCACAAACAATATACTTATCGCTGTAAAAATTACTTACTGTTGACAAATGACATCAGTTAAGTGATCAGTTGTAATTATGACAATACTAAACAACATGAGTAGAATGGTCCTAATGAACACATTTCATAATTCAATTGTCACGTGATGATCATCCTCACTAACTGATCTCTCCACTCTTGGTCAAATAGTGACCATACTGTTCTCGAACAACCCAAATCCCTACAGAATGCCTTTATTCCTTTCCTAACAAAACTAACCACCATCCTCACTTATTATCAACTATCAATAGATATTCGATATGTCTACATGTGTTACTTCACTTGCATACTTTCGTATGAAGTAATTATTTGCTCAAGACCTACGTTCAGCGTATCCCTCTTCAATCAGTAAACAATGTTAAGTCAAGTGAAAGCAACACATTTCAAACTGATTGACACATTTCGAGGTTCGAAGCACTGACATTGAAGATGAATTTAGGTGAAACATCATCAGTGACATAAGATTTATATTTGAACAAACTATCAACGCATACTATTGGTTGATTCGGATCGAAACCATACCTCGACCTTGAATGTCAACTTCCGATTGATTGATTGATTTACGCAATCATGACACGTGACAGTTTTAATTAATTTCCTATTCATGCAGAAATATCTTACTTATTCTTGCAAATATCATGACACTTTCAGCGGATAAATCAATTAATTATGTGTTAGAATCTCAGTTACCATCTCAGTTAATAGGTGACTAACAAAATATCATCTCTATATAGTGTTCAATATTCAACATACTACTGGTAGTAACCAGGTGACAGCTGACTAGATCACATTCAGACACTTAGTTGCATTCTGTCATCAAGTATCATTCAGAAAAGACAATAAATGTCGAAACTTACCAGTCAATTTCATCTGTTTCAAACTAAAGTTTGTGTTCGATGTCGATGGTGGACAGGGAGATATTTGATTGGCACAATATGAAACTGGCTCCGATTTCTCAGCCCAATTCACATCCTTTGAACATGGAATACTGTCAGAAGAATTAGAGAGCGAAGAATAACTTGGCAATTTATGTGGGATTTCAGACAAACGACAAGTTGAATCACCACGACCACCACCACCACATTTCAAGTGTCCATCCAGTTGTGAATGTTGTATGCGGTCAGTATGCTTCCCTTCACTTTTACTTCGTATATGTCCAGTATGTGAAGAGTGCATGGAACGCCTACCAGATGAGAGTCTAGCGTTCGATGAATTTCTGCTTCGAACACGACACACATGGAACGACGAATGTGCAACGGGTTCACCTTGTGTGCATTGATTAACTGTCCTTGAAGACGATCTACACTCAGGTGAATGTGACTTGTGCAATGTGAATGAAACAAGTGAATTGTGTTTATGATCATTGGTGAATGACTTTGTGATGGATTTGTGTGGTGTATTCGGTGGTACCGAATATCCTAGTTGATGAGATTGAAGAAGCAAATAACTGTCAGAATGATATTTATTGTTCAAATAAAATGTCGGTATGTAGTTGACTGTGGTGGTGGTGGTATCCAACTGTTCCCAATGCCATCTATGTTTATGCCTTGTGTGATTGTGATTTTCTCGATCATTTTCATTGGCCTCGCCATGGATCGTCGATTCAACCAGAGGTTTCATTTGATTTAAATCAAATTCATACGTTTCACAGAATTGTTGAAGATTTTTTTGACAGATCGCCTTGAATGTTTGTTGACATTGAGCATTGATCAATGGTTTTGTTTGAATGGTGTTGTTGTTATTCCGATCATGTGAATTAGTCCATAATTTATTATTTTCTAACGATTGAAATAAACGTCTTGAAGGTTGTTTCACTGAATTCGACTGATGTTGCATTATTGAATATTGAACAGTGCAATAATATCAAAAATGACGTTCAATGGTGTCAATAACCGTTAAAACAATTTTATTATTATTGTTTCTTTCGTATTTAACATAAACTAAATTTTGATTGGTTCAATTTTTTTCAATATACAATATTTAAACCAACGAAATAAGATATCGTTGACCTTAAAATTATTGGATAATTTGTGAAATTGAAATGTGTACACGTGGTGAGAAATTTTTGCTGGTGTTGTTGTTGTTGTTAATTTTAAACAAAATACACATGTCCAATAATAAATAACGCTGTAAAAGAGTGTTCAATGTTTTGTACAATTTTGTAAAACAATTGGTCGGTCAACAAAAAATGAACCCTGTTACTTAGTTTTTTTTTATGTGATGAATAGAAAGTTCAAGAATTCTTTTCTTTTCTGTTATTCCTCTTCCAGCATCCATGTTTAAAGGAGGGATGGCTGGAGGGGGGGCAGTGGAGGAGAAAAGGAAAGATGAATATATTTTTTTTTGCAGTTTCAAAGATTATTTACTTGTCCAAGCATGTATGTAATGTACATTGGTCAATTTATCAACTAATTGAACAGTTTTCAAAATGAAAACCAGCTAATTGATTTCTTAAGATAAAAAACAGGGCATGTAATTATCGACTGGAAAGCATGAATTGATCAATGTTAGACTATCGCTATTAGAAACCCTGGAGGCATTGAAATACGGCCGTTTCGTCCTGGTATGGGACTTATCAGTAGCAGTGCGCGCACACGATTCATAAACCTCGCAGGATTCGAACCCAGGACCTTGGGTCTTGAGCGCGAATGCCTAACCTCTGGACCACTGAGACGGCATCTAACGGTATTAATGTCTAACTTCGGTTTATCAGTATAAGATTATATAGTGTGAATTCTGTTAATCATGTTTAGGATTTATTGTAGTTAAATGACCAATGAGAAAAGAGAACGTAGGACTCTTTAGTAATGTCTACCCATGACAAGGAATATAAGACATTGAATCCATGAATAATAGTTTTCACTTATATCTTTAATCAATCAGTTTCTAATGACATTTTAATTTTCAATATAGAATAATATAGATTGTTAAGTTTCATTGAAATAATGAATTGATCATTGTTAGACCACCATTAGAAACCTGCAAGCACCGGACGGATGTTTCGCCCCAGTGTGAGACTCATCAGCAGTGTAAATCCACGACCCCAATCACGGGGATCGAGCTTAAGACCTCCGGTCTTGCTCTCGAATGTTCAGCTCCTTGACCAATGAACCGATATCCAACGGTGTTAATGTCCAATTTTAATAAATCTAAGGTATTGAGTGACCTTACTAAGTGTCTTCGATAAATCCAACAGCGTTGAACCCCACTATTCAGAATTTCTCACTTGAAATTGGAGAAATTTTGAGACCGAAGGTCCTGGGTTAGAATCCCGCACACAAGAATCGAGGATACTCGCTGATGAAGAGTCCACTACTAGAACAGAGCAGCCGTCCGGTGCTTACAGGTTTCTAATGGTAGTATAACAAAGATTGATTCATTATTTAAAGTCACCATTTTTCCTTGAAACTTCAGAAAACACCTTTCAAAATCAGTTAGCATATTACAAATTTGAATCATATATATAGAATTCAGGATATTCATTCCCTTAATCCTATCAACCACTCACCTACTGGTAAGTACATATTTAATGTATAAAAGGAATGTTATATAACATTCTTATAGAGAAAATTATGTAAGTGATCGGATCACTCAAGAATCAGTCTGTTGGGGATGTTAGATCCTCAGAACTCACTGGATAAAGGTCCTAATATTGGATTTTGTGTTTTCGCATATGGACTGATCAGTTGACCTTGAGATTACATTTCCCACTAGGGAAAATACTTGACTGTGGTTATTGGTTGATGGATTATTTTAGTACGCTATTTTTGTGACTCTCTCAAGGGCGTTTCTATCGTGTATAAATAAACTAGATTTATGTGCTTGTCGACCTCATATTTTCTGGATGCTTGTAGGATACACTTTCTATGTCTTGACAAGACTTCTTCCTCTACTTAGTTGGAGCCTTGGGACGCTCAGATTAGAGTAGCCTATCATGTCACTGGATTATTTGTCTTCACACTCGTTTATCGACTCTAAGATGAACTCGTAATAGTATAGTTTCAAGCATATCATCCGGTGACGAGTATAACATGATCAACTTCGATGTTGTGATTATTACATTGAATGATGTAATCACTCACGTAATAAGTCATAAGTCATTCAGTACTATTGTAGTGAAGGAGAACACAGGTGAGGGGAACCGGATTGTGTTTAACGAAAATTACAGAGTTACTCAGTAAAATAGGAAAACCATATCGTAAACCGTTAATTTGCAAATCTTCAATCCATCATCATCTCCATTGTCTGACATTTCACTATTCATGCGTTTCATACAAATTCCATTGTGTTCCCCCCACTCATCCTTTCTTTATCTTCCCCCATCTTCTGCTGCCAGACATTACGTTTACACTCGAGTCATATACTACTTATAAGTAGCTCGCACCACACTATGAATGATTAATCAATAAATTAACCAATAACAATCATGTTCTAATTTAATGATTCATTCTCTCGAATTTATACTTCAAACTTTAAATTTATTTGTCACAGTTAAAGTACATTAAAATCAATTTATTTCACTAATTTTGCCATTATTCTGTTTATATTCTGTTAGGGGGATGTTAGATCCCCAGAAATCGCTTGATCACTGTCTTGATTTTGGATTTTATTTTATAGGCTGATCAGTTGACCTTGAGATCACATTTCCCACCAAGAGAATCCTTGGCTATGATTGATTACTGTGTTATTTTAGTGTTCTATTTTTGTAACTCTCCCAAAGATCTTTCGATGTTGTATGAATAAACGCAAATTGTGTGCTTGATTGCATTGTATGCTGGTTGGGATTTTGTAGAATACACTTTCTACGCCTTATCAAGACTTCTTCATTAGTTCCTTTTGGGATAACTGATCAGAGTAGCATAATGTATCACTGGTGCATTGTCTCGTTCTCGTTTATCGACTAAGCTGAACTCGTACTAGTAGTTTCAAGCATATCAAGTGATGAGCACAACATATTCAATTAAACATAACACGTATTATCAGCAGTTATTGACAGATAGAGAAAACCTAGGGCCATCAAACACAACATTAATATCAAAAACTTCATACCAAGAAAGAATTCAGAGTGGCAGCCACAGTAAATGAAATTACACAGTCTTAGTATGAAAAAGGGAACGTTCATTTACAAAATAGTTGCATGCATTATGTTACAAGTACAGTTTATGCAGAGTTTGCTCTTCTCTTTCCTAACGATTTATTCTTGATCGCCCTGCAATAGAATGAGAACAGAATCATATCAGTCACGTCATACATAGTAGTTTCAACACTGTTACGTATAAATATAACTTCAGCCTTTGGTTAGTTTGCATTTAGCCAGCAGGTAACCTTGTGTGCTGGGGCTCTATCTGTAGAGCAGCATTCGAGGTTATCTGGAAGAGGAAAGAACAAAAGCAAAAGACTGAACCGACGACTCAAGTAAGCACATAGGAACAATGCACTTACATACAATAGAGAAATCAATAGACAGTAACTAGAAATGACGAATCGAAACTAGAAATTGTTGTTAGAGTAAGGTTTTTTTGAGAATGTGTTACATATATATTTTGCATTTCGGGGTTGTGAAGATTGTTAAGTTACACATTTTTGAAACCTTGAATCGATCAATGTTAGACCACCATTAGAAACCCACAAGCACTGGACGGCCGTTTCGTCCTGGTATGGGACTACTCATCAGTAGTAGTGCACATCCACGACTCCTGCACCCCGCAGGCTTCGAACCCAGGACCTTCGGTATTGTGTGCGAACGCCCTAACCGTTAAACCACTGAGACGGTGTCTAACTGGGGAGTCGCATACCAGGACGAAACGGCCGTCTTTCAATGCTTCCAGGTTTCTAATGGTGACGGTCTAAGATTGATCGATTCATGGTTTCAAAAATGTGTAACTTAACAATCTTCACAACCCCATAATGCAAATTACATGTGCTCACTAGTGACTAGCTTCATGAGGAATCTTCTCCGAGTTACAGTGGGAAGTCATGTCCAGTGAAGTTCAACCTGTTCGGATGTAGACAGTAACTACCGAAGACTGTGTATGAGGTTGCGCAACTGCGTGAACTGATCAAGTTAGACATTAACACCGTTAGATACCGGCTCAGTGGTCCTATGGTTTGGCGTTCGTGCACAACACCGAAGGTCCCGGGTTCGAATCCTGTGAGTTGCTGTAGTCGTGGATGCGCACTGCTGAGAAGTTCCATAACAGGACGAAACGGCCGTCTTTCAGTGCTTCCAGGTTTCTAATGGTGATAGTCTAACATTGATCGATTCATGGTTTCAAAAATGTGTGACATATATATACAGTTTATTTAAATTATCCATAAAAAAATAACTAACTAACTAACTAACTAATTGATTATGCATTAAAACAAGAATAAACAAATTAACTTGTACCAACTACCATATTCAATTGATCATTGAACATCATTTAAAATAAATGGCGATTGTTTTTGTTCATAGTTTAATTTATTTGACAAACAAATGTTTACATCTTAGTTTATTTTAGTTTATTTTATGCATGGTTCAATATACAAATATACATTTACATGTGTGTGTACACAATGGAAGTGCAGTTAAACTGCATTTCTTATTTTGTTCAAACAAAAAATTCTCCGCCTTATTTCCTGTTTTAATGTGTGTGTATGTGTGTGTGTGTGTGTTTATGCGCCAAATTGAGATGTTGATCAGTGCATTTCTTTCTATGCGCCTGCATTTAGAATAATTCAAGTTTCTTTTCATCTGGATAAGAAAGTGTCGTTTGTAGTGATTGTCCCCTTTTATATTTTTCCCTATCTGTTGTTTTTCTATGTAGGTTAAAGTTTGTAATGTAATGTTGAATATT